GGTATGTATATAGCCTTTCACATTTCAAGGGCCGAGGTAATATAAAAAAACACGCTCTGTGTGCTCCTCGTTTTTGCTCGCGTGTGGTTAATATAATAGCGAGAATCGGGAAAAATAAAATTGCGCTATTCGCGTAATCATCGATCGAAATTCCCCGCATCGATTTAAACGCGTGTGTCGCGCTCATGACTATATTTATATTATTGTGGATACGTAAAGGTAATGCAATATGTTTCGCGGCGACAAACGGATCGTAGTGTTTCAAAGGCCTTGCCTTAAAAAGAAAAAAAAACTATTGGTGATCAAAACGTTAAAGTGAGTCACGTGGCTGTGTGTATTAACTGAAGAAAAAAAAAACAATGCTTTTGTTACACAAATTATCGAGAGATCGTATACCTATGCGATAATGTAATACGGAAAAGCAAAACTTGTCATTCGCGAGCTGTTACGGAGCAGCGACGTTCCATAGGCATGAAAACGAAAGAAAGAAACAAGAAAAAACAATTACTCGCTTCTCTTTTCCGTCACGTGAATATAAATATGTACTGTACTATTTTTGCAACGAAACATTACACACGTAGGTATGCGAGCGGCTATCGCAAAACCGTTCGGCTATACTGTACATTATAGCCATTATTGCCACCGCGTATATGTTGCATATTGCTCGTACAAGCGCGCACTTTCGAAATTCCTTTCTGGTGTAAAATGTTCGTACCCAAAGGAGACGCATCGGCTCTGAACATAAGATAGAACACCCGCGCGTATCCTATACGACAGATATTGAAAGAAAGCACTGTATATGTATACGAAGTGAGATGATACACCGCGATAACATTAGACGTCTCCTCGTTTAAAGTTGAATTTCAAGCGAGCGCTCGACGATAAATTCAAGCACCAGCGAATAAATTGCATCAGATGCGTCGCTAAACACCCGATGTATATATACATAATGTTGTACACCCCATGTGTATATGTATAGGTACGGATATAACGTGTGTGTATCGTGCAAAAATATTTTAACGGGTTGTACACGCCATATGTATGTGTCGAGCGTGTGGGTATTAGAACTCGCGCGAGTATTTTTGCTGATTAGAGGGAAAAGGGGAAAAAAGAAAAGTGAACGCACGCGCGTGGAGTGAAGGAAGTTACGTGGATATGAAATTGAATATTTGTCGCGGCGCGTCTGGTAAAATTATACGGCACGGTGTGCGCGAAGGGACCACCGAAGAATATTTTGTTGTTGGGTTTTCCGTGAAATCGAGTTTTCGTAACAGGCTCTTCCGAGATGACAACGAAAATAACAGGTATAGGCGCGTGTGTGGCTTCGTCGACTAAGTGGGACGAGTATAAGTGTCGGGCAGACCTGTGGTATCGAGTTTCCATCGAGATTTAATCAAAATTTAAAAAGTGCTCCTTTTTTCCTAGAAGTTGTAAAATAATCTGCATGGAAGTGCTGTTAAAAAAAAAAAAAAAAAAGATAAAAGATAAAAAATTTCGTTCAATAATGACTAATATTTTGGTTCAAACAAATTAATTAAATGCTTAACGGTGCCAAATTATAAAATATTCAAAACGTTTTATTTCAAACAAAAAAATTTAATCCCTGCGCAATTTTTCATACGTATTTTTGATGCTTTCTTTTTTAACGCTTTATTAGTCGTACGAAATAATGTATTTAAAAATTCGTTTTAAATTAATTAACAAGGACAACGCTACGCACAGTTGCGTTTGACTTGAATAATTAAAACCTTTTAAGTATTTCGTTTGCAAAAAAATTGTTAATTCTTCTGAAACATACCCACTACGATTCTACTCACTTGCACGATAAGTGCGTGCACCTATACAGAGGAATTCCAAAACAGCGATCGAATCGTTTTGCATCCCAACGCAATGAATCAGCCGTTTAATCAGTCACCGCTGGCGTTTGAATTATTTCCGTTCCAATCGAGTAGAAAACATTTGCCGATCTGAGATACCTGAGCGTCGCGCGATTCACGCACGAGGTACGTTAATTATAAAACAACTGCGCGGAGGTGAGCGCGAAAATCGTTCAGCATCCATATGTATATAGCCGGATGTCATTGCACTTCACGGCAATCGAGTAGATACATCCACGGACCCCCCCCCCCCTGTAAGGATGCACGTACACGTGCATACTCAACTTTCGACCTCACTTGCACCTTGAACCTTTTCAATCCACACCCACGTTTCGGTGCATTGAGGACAAAAGCGACAAAATTAAAAAAATTCGTATACGACATAACGCCCAGCACGTGAATACCAGGCTTGTAACATATATGTTATACTCGGTCGTGGTGTAGAAGAGTCGGGCGCAGGCAGCACTCTCACTTTGCGAATATCTTGCGCAACCGAGCACAGAACCCACACATGCGTCCCTAGATAGAGCAAACGTGTACACACACACACACACACACACCAACACTCTGTGCTCTTATACTCGCGCAGCATCTGCCCCCGGGCCTGCTCCGCTCGACACAGGCGCACAGATCGGTTTGCAAAAAAGTGCACCCACGGAGAGGAGCGCATCCTCCTACCTATATATTTATTTCATTCTTCGTTCCGCCATCGTCTCCCGTGCTGTGCAGCATCCTCGCTCGGTCCAAAATCGGTGCTCGCACGGAAGATCGGAAAATTGTCGTCTCCCTCTTTATTTTTTTCTTTGCTTCAAATTTTATCATCAACACTGTACGGGTCGCGCAACGCACCGACAACAGCTACCCATGCCATTATCGCACGTGCGTGTGCTCTACGAGCTGCTTTCACTTCTTCCACGCACGCACGCACAATTCGAGTGCCACACTATATGTGGGCGCTCTTTTTATTTGTTGATTAATTATTTTTCCGTGACGTTTCACCAAATCGTCTCCGCGATTCTTCCTCACGGCATTCGACGAAGACAGCTCGCGCACTTGGTTCGTGCCGATTTCGATGATCGGTAACTACACGTAACGGGGCACACTTTGCGCGGTCTAAAAATAAATGAAAAAAAAAAAAAAAAACAGGGGGTTGATGATGCACGCGTATGTTTTCAAGCACCCACCACGCAGGAGGGGAATCGCGCGGGAGAACGCCAACACGCACCGAGACGAGAGATAAAAAGAGAGAGAGAGAGAGCGCGAAGCACCGTGAAAAAGATCGGGAAGCAAACTGACACGTATGTAGCCAGGAGCAGAGGCCTTACCTGTGCCTCCGCGTATTATACAAGCTGGAGCCTCGTGCCGGCCCTCTCTCTCTCTCTGTCTTATTTACCTGGTGTGGCTTGTATCCACGCTCTTTTCTCCTTCTCTCTTTTACTCCTGGCGTTCGCCCGGCTATATACATTCGCTCCTCCTCCACCAACAGCCATATATACGTCCGACGGTCTGTCTCACTCGCGCCTGTTACTACTTATACCTCGGTTTGTGCGCCAATGCAGGAGCAACCGAGAGAGGACGATAGACCTGGCACACGATACATAGATATAATCATTACCTGGGGAACGGACCTACCGACCGTTGCCGATTCGTTGCTGCTCCCTAGCGTTTTGTTTCATCGAATTTACTCTGCTTTTTTTCATCAAGTGGACTCTTCTTTGTTTAATTATTATTGTCGCCTAGAGTTGAATGGGAACGAAAAAGCGGGTGATTGGACGTTGATCGATTTATCATGGGAACGGTGAGCGCTTCGAGCTTCCTTACCGATCGAGCCGCAATATAATGTATCGTCAAAGAGATATACATATGTATATAAGCTTTGAGTAACGTCATCGTGGCTGATTTTTTTCTTTTTTTTTTGTTCACTCATACGCAGCCGATCCTCTTTTGTCGCACGAGATATTGGACGCCGGATGACAAAACGCGCAAAATCCGGCTTTACGCGTGTACACACGGCAAAAGATTACCCGCAGGCATTGTACTCGAAAGCGCCCGATACATCGTAAAGTCCGTCGTGTGTTTGTCGCGCAAACTCAAATCTCATAAGTCACCCCCCCCCCCTCCGTGGGAGGAGGAAAAAAACTTTTGCTGCTATCTCGGACGAAGCATACATACAATGGGAAACGCGTGCTTTTGCAAAATAAATACGTATCTCGTTAACAGGGCGCGCAGGATGTACCAAGGGGTATCGTGTACTTTTGAAAAAAGAACAACTTTTTCTCTTTCCCCTTCTTGTTATTAAAAATTACTCGGCAAGAAAGTTTATTTGTGCGTACATGCAATACACTCGGTGGGCTCGGAGAGGTGAGTTCTGAATTCATTTACCTTCCAGCTCGCCAAAGAGTTCAAAAGAAGGTGAAAACTCAAAGGGGAAGCTGAAACGCATTGCATGAAATGTGCGCTCCGAAGTGTAAAGTTTCTGAAAAAGGCGTAGAGTCCCGTCGTTTGCCTAATTGAATCCCCGCCAAAACATTCGGCAGCGCCGCGAAGCCAGTTGTTTCCTCGGGTCGGAAAATGCTTTAGGGGGGCAGAGTCAGGAGTCGCTTCTTCCACTCGAGCTTCGCTTAAACACGAAAAGGCTCTCGCGAGCCGAGTTTAAAACTTTTGCAAGGGGGGGGGGGAAGAGAAAAGGAGAAGGGCTCCTCGACGACGGGGATGAGACATCCCTAGGTACGGCTCGAGCGATCGAAGGCTCGGAAAAGGAGTTGGTGTTTCTTATTTTGAGCCATCGGAACCACCCACGGGTTTTTGTGCTCGCGTCAGCTCGCGATATTGGTGAAATATGTGATGTGTATCGATCCCCACGTGGAAAACAGACGGCTGACGAGCGTCCGGGCAAGTCACGGAGTTGCAATAACACTTAAAAAGTTTCGCGTCGAGCGACAGCGAGTCTTTGCCAACTTTCACTCCCCGAGCGGGGGGCATGAGTTTTTGGCCATAAAAATTCATCAGCTCGTTAGCTTTCGACTTCCTGCGACGATGCGTAAAAAAAAAAAAAAAAAAATTCTACCGTGTTACTCTACGGTATACTCATGCAACGGTGCACATAACATGTTAAAGCCATACCCATTTTGTTGCCGCTCCTCCGCTTGACCCGCAGACATATCGTCCTGGATTTAATGCACTGCAACAGACAAAGGCCATCGATCGGTACATCAGGTAAAACACACACCTCCGCTCGTCCCATCTCCAGACACTCTTTCTCTTTTTTCCGAACCAATGCACAGCTGGAATTCTTCCAGATGACGGGTAATTTCCCCCCCCCCCCCGAACAAACGGTATGCAGGTATACGCAAAATAATAAAAAAAGGACCCAAGCTAGACGGGTGCCCTGCTTTTTCTTTTTCCAAGCAAATTATCGCGACTGGAGCTCGGCCAAGGCCCCCTTCCATAATACGTGCACGAGGTGTACTACGCGGATATCGAAGTTTAAACGCAAAGTTTCGAATTTGGTTAAAAGAGTAGCCGTTTTGGATGAAAATCAAGAAGCTCGTAATTTTGTTTTGCAAATATAAAAACAAAAGGGCATTCTTACTCACCTGGTGTATGTGTTTAATGACTTCCTCGTAGGTCGCGTTCTCGAGGGTCCGACCGTTGATCTCGAGAATCTCGTCACCGACCTCCAAGTTGTCGCCATTGTCGGCCGGCGAGCCTGTCCCAAAACACAGGTTACGATCCATTAATTTAATGAGCACATGTATTAAATACACGATTTATGGTGCAGCGAATGAAAAAGAGTTCCTCGAGGCGTCGAGGTGAACATTTTTAATTAAAAACGCCCTGTGGTGCATACATACAGAATGGACGTATATACCTCGGCAACACATTGGCATTATTATGCAACCCCATTGTATATTCGCGCGCAAACGAGGTCCTGTCGAACTCGAAAATGAAAAATGGCCCGACTAGAGTGAGACGCGCTTTAATTCATCAAAAAATGTCGACATCGATGGGCTATGGATTCGCGTTTCTGGGCTGCGCGTCAAAAATTCATCCGACCGGACCAGAAGAGCTTTTCGGGAGTCCTTCGGTATGAGAGCGCTACTGGGCCATCCTTGCATGGTATAGGAAAAAAAGACACTGTAGCTCGAGCTCTGTACACAAGGGAATACTCCTGAGCGGCTTAAAAAAAAAAAAAGATGGGGGGAGGAGGGCTTTATTATCTTGACGCTCTATTCATTGGAGGGAAAAACCGCATACCCGAAGAGCGGAATAAAAGCACGGCCAACACGAGGGAGTGGAATGCGGTTCCTCTCACGGCGCGGAGCGATCGTGCGCGACTTATCTTAGAAATTTCCTCATTTCCCGGCTATGAAATTTTACACGCGGAACATTCCGGCTGAGCATATGCGGGTGGAAACTATAAGGGGTTGTAAGGTGTATCGGTGGAAGGGAAGAAAAGGGGTATAAGGGTCAATTTTTTTTTTTTTTTTTTTTTTTTTTTTTTTTTTTTTNCATAAGATATCATGTTGAGCTTGAAAAATGTTTGCAATTATATTTTGTTGCTCATGATGTAATTCAAAGAGGCTTTGACATTTTTCAATTATTTTGTCACTTGATTTTGTTTAATGGTAGTTTTCCTACGAGTTTGAAAAGTCTCTATTTTTATTTCGTTTCCACTTTTTTTGGTTTTTTTTTTTTTTTTTTTTTTTTTTTTGTTTTAATTCTTTTTTTTTTTTTTTTGGGACTCGTTGATCCGGGAATTGTAACATTGTAAAAGTATGCTGATTTTTGTACATTTGAAACCTCTTTTTTAATTCTTCCGTGTCAATGAAGGAGATAAGTTTTAAAAAAGAAACATTTTTTGTGCAAAAAGGTATTTAAGAAACGTCTTCACTGTTACTTTAAAAATTTAATTAAGTAGAAACGACAAAAATAAAAAATTTCTTTCAAGGGCGAAAATCAGTAGTAAGTGCCCGGTTTTGGTCAGACATGCATCGGCCGGCAGCTAAAAAGCCGAGTGATGCATTTCTATATACGTGGACAAATTGTTTAATAAAAATCCCTAGCGGTTTCTTTAAAAAGTACATATATTTTTCTCAACCTCGTAAAAATAATGATGTGATACAGGGTTGGGTACTCTTGGCTCTTGCGCAAACTTTTTTAATACATCAAATCCAACACTGCTACCACTTGGAAACGCATAAATATCAACAGTTTCAAAAAACCACGTAACTTTTCAAATTAATGAAATGCCTCTCTCAAACGCGTTCTATTTACACTTGCATACGTCAAAGGAAGCGAATATAAAATTCAGTGTACATGATGAAGAGCTTCAAACCTCATATTTTTTTGCTGTAATTACTTTGAGTGAATTCTTAGCATCATGACAAAGAAAAAAAAAAAAAAAAATAAAAAAACAAAAAAAAAAAAAAAAAAAAAAAAAAAAAAAAAAAAAAAAAAAAAACGCAATCGATGACGAAAGAAAAGCACCCATAACTGCAGTCTGGTGTAGTGAATCGATACCACGAAAGTGCATCGAGAGAGCAATCGTTTCCCTCCTGCATCCACCTATCCAGTACAAGTACACTTGTGTGCCCGTTATAAANAAAAAAAAAAAAAAAAAAAAAAAAAAAAAAAAAAAAAAAAAAAAAAAAAAAAGCTTCGGAAAACATTTTCCGCGCACAAATTACTTCCATATCAATGCTGGCCGTGGCTTCAAAACCCATCCCAGTCGAATTTCCCCTCGTTACTTTAACCCCCAAAATTCTCGTGCCATGCATAATTCAAACTTACTCCTCAAACGAGCGGCGCGCTCGTGCAGCTTACGTACATACTTCACGTAAATAACCAACTTTGGACTCGAAACTTTCAACTCGACCGCGACCGCGGCCACGATTTTTCTCACGCGTATAATCACCCCACACCTCCTCCTCCTCCTCCTGGTTTTAAGCCGAGCATAAAAAAAAGGACTATTATTTAATCATCCTCCGTAACCGCGAGCAAGAGGGCAGGCATATACTCCCGTATTTTTTCCTGTTTATTCAAATTTATTCTGGCCGGGTATTTTTAATTTGCACGGAGAAATATTAAATTACACCCCCACCACGGGCACATTTGCACTTTTAATTTCAATGAAGAAAAGAAGAGGAAAAAAAAAAATAAAAAAACAAAATGAAGCAAGACTCGTTAACGGTATGAAAAAAAAAAAAAAACGCGGTAACTCATTAAGCCTCGCAATCAGCTCGGGGGGGGGGGGGGTCGCGCAATTCAAAGTTTATAGAGAGCAAAACAAGCTCCCGCGCGCGTTCACACGCAAAACAACGTGAGCACGAGAGGTGGTGTATCGAAAACGGCAAATAATCAGCGCCCAACCGTGAAGAGAACCTACACCTGGTTAGTGTACCCATCCGCCCCATTGCACTGCGCCGGACAATCAAGCTGTACAGCGTATGTGTATACGGATCGATATCCCTTGGGTTGTGGTGGGTGACTGAGAGGAAGGAAAAAAAAAAAAAGAGACGCGGGACATTGCGCAGGCAGCCGGAAAAACGGGATCCAGGGTCCAAATGGAAAATAAGTCTATGTCTATGGTATACGTAGCTGTGTTGCGCCGAGCGTATATATATATATACGGGGGAAAATAAAAATAGGGCAGCGTTTAAGAGGTAACTGGGCTCTTTTCGTAATGCCCCGGTGTTGCCCGCGAGAACCTCCGGCTCTGATTTTTTTAAAGGGGATGTATCGAGCGTGCGGGTGTTTTATTGGTTCGAGGTTGGAAAAAATATTTTTTTATAAAGAAAAGCTCAAAAATCAACGCGTGATCGAAACCAAGAGAGAAGTGGGGCGTTGGGGTGGAAATTCGGAAATTAAACAGTGTCCAAGCTATACTCGTGTAGGTGTATGTAACACAATAGTTGTGCACCGAGTTCGTTTAATCTTCCGGTGGTCGGTCATCAAAAGCTCCAAGTACTTGATGAACGGAACAATTCGCTTTGAGCGCCCGAGAGGGGCGGGGACGGTGCGAGTCAATAGAGAGGGCAGTTTTAAGCCGCCCATATATGTATACGTGCATGTAACACTCGTATAGTTGCGTTAAATAATACAGGGGAATCATTTAACGTGGTAATGAGAGAGCAGCGGCGAGAGACGGGATCGAGCTTGCGAAAAGTTAGGTTGATATTGAAAATCCAATTGTTACGGGTTCACGGAAAATTAGATTGGTTTTTAATCGTGAGATTACAACGCTGCGGTCGTTATGGGTGAGTTATGGAATTTCTGAGGTAAACTAAGCTTAAGCAGATGATTTCAGTAGAGCAAATTTCTTTTGCCCTTACATGAATCTTAAATAATTGAATCTACGTTAATAACTGCTTTTCCAATTGTCAAAAGATGTATATTTTTAGATCTACAACCTTTGCACCGATATGCCGTGGAATGTCAAATATAGTTGAAAGTGGATGTTGTAAAAACAAGTTTCATTGTCATGAGATTTTTTTAAGTTACAAATTGCTTGCGCAACAAAAATGGGTTCAAAGTTTTATACTTTTGAGATGTACAACTTTTCGCGACAATGTTTGCAGGGGTCTGAAACCATACCGTTAAATGTATGCGCTATAAACAGAATTCCTAATAACTGGACTTTAAATCATCTGATTAAATGAAAACAAAATTGTACCTATAAAATAAGAGCTTAATCAAATGGAAAAACTCCTTGGAATGGTCTATTAAATTTGTTGTTTCCATAAACCCAGTGTTGCAATTTATTTCAGTTGGCTACGCTTTTTGCCGCAACGAGAATACAAGGCACTCCTGTAGATGGTCGTATGCCCAAAAGCGAAAAAAAAGAAATCAATTACTCTCGCGCCATCGAAAAATAACAAATCTGCACGTTATTGGACCGAAAAAGGTGGATGAGAATTTTTTGAAATCTGTCAGAAGTAATGCACCGGTGAACTTGACACAAGGGACAGAGTAAGAAAAAAAAGCACCTCTAAGCTGGAGTAAAGTGACAGGGAGGATATTTTTCTCGATCGAAAACAGTTGGAGTTTTAATTACTGTGCGTGTGTCGTCGTCACCTAAAAGAGAGAGAGAGAGAGGGGGAGGAAAATATCATCAAAAAGAAGTCGGAGGAAGGAGGTCGAGCGTGCACTGCAAAGAGCCCGGCAACATAGAACGGAGCGAGAGCAGGAAATCCTTCGGACGCGAACAACGACTCCGAACAATACGAGGAATCGTCCCTAGGCTGCGCCCTGAGCTTCTCCCTTTTTTTTCTCTCCCTCTCTCTACTTTTACAAGAGCAGGGCCGCCGCCCACCTTTTCCTCTTTCTTCTCGTTCTTCTCCTTTGCACTGAGAGGAGTGTGATAGAGAGAGAGAGAGAGGGGGGGGGGGACGAAGGCAAGAAAGAATAAAAAGGATTTAATGATATCCTCGCGTTGAGAGAAATAGAAGGGACCAAGAGTGGAGGAGGCGTCACTCGGCGTGGGAGAGGAAGAAATCACTTTGGAGATTTCCGGGTTTAATCGAAGCGCCGGCTTTGCGCGTAAATTATTGTCCCACCGGATTGATCTTTCGCGTGGGATTCCCAGGTATATTTTCCTATACAATCGCTCACACCTAGGGATGTATTAAACACCGAAATGATATATCATTTTATAAATAAATACGAACAAAGGCCACCAACAACAGAGATAGAAGTAACCACGTGCTTATAAAACAAAAGATGCGCTCGCACGTACACTCACCGTAGAGCTTCATCTTGCCGGCGTGGTTCATCAATATGATGATGTAGCCACCGAGGTCGACCATTTTTCCGCTGTGCCTCGAAGCAGAGGTGCCAATACACGAGGGTAAGCGTTAAATGCAATACAGAAGTGACAGTGGGAACCGGGTGTCCTTGGCCGTTCTTCTCTTCGCCGGCTTCTTCATCGTGGCGTAGCTGTGAACATCGCTGTGAAGTAAAGGGGTTGTGCGGGGGGCCGGCCAGCCGAGGGCCACTTGCCGGCACTACATCTTCCGCGGCACCTCGACCGCGTTTCTGATGTTTTGCTATGGCCTAGCTCGGCTCAATTGGACGATGGATTTTTGTTTCTGGAGCGCTGCTGCCGGCGATCGGGTGGAAGCTGGTGCTCGGACGCGGTCGACGAGCTGAGGTCGGGGCTCGGCATCGTCAGCTGCAGCGCCTTCGCTTCGTCCATTGTTGGCTCTGAAAATGAAAAAAAAAAAAAAAAAAATAGAAATGTTTATTTTTCCCTCTTCTCATCTTCAGTGGTACCAATTGATCGGTATTGTTATTCTTTCGAACGAAAAATGCAAAGGTTTATCGATCTCACGGAGACCAGCTCGTATATTCAAAACACGTGCGTCGTGCACTAAATCAGTAGAAAAGGTAAACGGTATGGTCGGACGGGCTGTTTTCTACTGAACGGGCAGTCGTACCTACACACGTATAGGTATATCTGTATACGGGCGCATGAAAATCGAGAGCGGCATTCATTTTCCCGGGGAAAAGCATTTTCAATTTTCTTAATAAACCGGGAGAGAGAGAAATATGGTTCAATTTCAAATTTTGCCACGCTAATACCGTGTGTACCTAGTATTTCTCGCGTGTACAGCGAGCGAAATAGTTTCTCTCTCTTTTTTTTTTTTTTTTTTTCTTTTTTCATTTAAGAGCAGAGAGAGCATCTAATGGAAAGTTATAGACGTGCATCGCGTCATCCGATCACGTAACTTTCCGCATTGTTGCATGGTAACCGTGGCTTAATTGAATTCATACGACGTCATGTGGTGCGTCGTTCCGGTCTCCCCGAGATTAATACACCACACCGTATAGGATGCATAATTTTACTTTGACAGTGCAGCGCTTCGGACGAGCGTATCCGTGGGGTATTTTTTGTTATAACTTTTCTCGTTTTTTCGTTGTTATGCCTAAAAAATGGTCCGCAAAAGTCTCGGCTTCGAGAGCCAGTCTTGGACTACCGTGGTAAGAAAAAAAAAAAAAAAAAAAAAAAAAAAAAAAAAAAAAAAAAAAAAAAAAAAAA